TGCAGGCCGTCCGCCATATTTCTTTTTCTCTCTTTCGGCTACGCTACGCACGACGAGTGGATGTTCTGTACCGAAGCATGCTTGTAACCGATCGAGCTTTTACTCAATAAGTGTAAAACAAAATTTTTTACATGATTGTAAATAAACTTTCATGGTGAGATATAAAGCTTCGGTTATTTTATATAATCAACGAACACTCAGGTGGTGCATCAACCACCACAGCCTGTATTCTTTTTTACTCGTCAGATTAGGAATAATGTCGCGCGGGCCGGATAGAACATTTCAGGGGGCCGCATCTGGCCCGCGGGCCGTAGTTTGCCCATCACTGCCTTACACCAATAATTCAACGTATATACGTTGCGAATTATTATGTAAAAAATAACAAAACATTTCAAATTTTCTACCACATAAATATTTCAGAGAAAACAGTTAAATTTTTCTAATCAACAACTCATTTCAAATTACATTAAAGCATTTCAAACGCGTATTTTTATTTTCAAATTAAATATATAGCATATAAAAGAATTGGTTTCCTTTTTGTATAAAGTACATATTTCTAATATTGGGATATAAAATTTTGCATAAACACAAAATGTATAAAAAGTGTCTTCCATTACTGATAAAAGTCTATATTTAAAAACTACGATTTTCAAAGAATTTTCGAGTAGTTTTACTTTACCCATGCTGCGATAGAATTTTTTAAATTTAAAATACTATATATATTTTAAGTAAAATCGTATCAAATAGTCAATTACATTATTTCGATAATTCCAAAGACATTCTGTTTTATACCGTATTTTCGCGGAATGACAGGCATGCCAGCTTATCCCGGTAGAACGCCAGCACCAGTTTAAGTGAGGTTATACATCCCTCTCTAGAGGGCGCATTAAAAAAACGAACGCGTTTTTATTCTAAAACTGTGAAACTGTCAGCATTACATCAGAAACTAAGATTATACGCTTAATTTCTTCATTACGTCTTCTTTCTAAAGATGTAAAATAGTCCTGGAATTTTGTAAATGCTTTTTCATGTGTAATTTATTGTTATTTGATTCAAAAATGCAAAATTGAACATATTAAATTTAAGAACTCGCCGAAAATTATCTCAGCGTACACCGCTTCGTGTACGCTGAGATAACTTCGGCTTCGTGTGAAATTTGAGAGGAAGATGTTATTTTTAAGGTCAGAGTAGATGGTCGGTGTAGCCCATACTGACTAACTAGTACTACTACTAATGCCAATAAGTCGTTAATTGTATTTTTGTCTTGTAAACGAAAACTCACTTTTTCATTATAAGTCAGTCAAGTGTAATATTATTATTTTACCGTACTGGGAAGAAAGTTTCCTTTTACATTTAATTAACAACTATTTTTATTAGATCTGATTATTTTTATATTTTAGTCGCTGTTTAATCAGCATGCTGGTCTCCACCGTTTATATGCGGCATGTTGCGTATAAACGCGAAAATATGGTATTATTTGTTTGATCTTCTCTCCGATGCCAATCATATCGAGTGCTGGCAATCTCTTAAACAGAAAACTGCAATATTTAATAAATCACAAATTTAAATAATTGGCCAAACTGCATGGACTAAGACTCAGGACATGGTCCGAGCAACGATCCTACAGAGAAATTTAAAGCAGTCACGAGACCAACGAAAAAGACAGGCGCGGTCGAAATATCAATAAATCAAGTGACCAACTTTGTGCTACAATCTATTTATCTATTTAGCAGTATAATGTACTGTTACAGTGAATATTCTAGATAAAATACTTATACAAGAATATCTCGTATCATATTTATATTCCGAACAAATTTTGCATTATGCTTAAACTTCACACACTAATATAGTGTAAAATTTTACTCCTTTTTTCGAGTTTATGTAATAATGCAAGAAAAGGTAAGTGTTTGTATTTCTTTAATACGTTGTAGTTAGAAAAAAGTAAAATATAATATAATACTCCACATTTGAAATAAACACTTCTATTCATATTAAAAATCACTTTACAAGTTATTAGAAAAACAATTACGTAATGTGTAAGAATTTACAATAAATTCTTAGTATTACAAGATGTATACATAGGCTAAGATAGGTATCATTTCAAAATCAAGAAAATTTAGAACTCAATATAACATGAAAATAAACATGGTGTTTTAATATTGCATTAATCAATACTTAAATACATACATTACACAAAATAACTATATTTAATTACATTGTACAATAAACAAAACATTTAATACACTATTATCAGGGGCTGGACAGGCCTAGTGACTTGTCCAGAGGAGGCTATTAAAAAAAGGTCGTATCTAAAAAGGATTAATTAAAATTTATTTGATATTTTTAATATTTTAAATATAATAAAAGCTACAAAAAAAGAGGAAAACAACATCCTGTAAAAACTAATGACTAATTCTACTTTTATGGAAAAAAGGGAAATTCGGTTTCCTTTCTCCACTCCTTATCTTAATTTTTCCCAACCATCTGGACGAATGGCACACCTGACCTTCCCGTCAGCTGACGAAGTTCTCAGGTGGTGATTGGAGGAAAGTCATGATAAAAGAGCACGTTTTCACAGACTCGAGGCAGTTCTAGCCACATAGGACCCCTGCTGCTACTCCACCGGATAGGCATCCTACTACAAAGTTGAACC